CTTAGAAATTTTGTACGAGTAGGGGATTCCTATATAATTGTTTGTTGTTCAAAATTTTGGCACCTTTTTTGGATTGAAATGTAAATGAATTAATTATGATATTGGAAGACAATGTTGAATAAAATTGGAAGGCAATGTTGAGTAATTTCTGCTTAACCATATGTAACCACAAGCTAAATGGCCATGTGTAAGCATGATCTTGTCTGCAAAAAAAAAAAAAAGCAATTTTGCTTCTACTATGCATACGCAAGGATATAGCCAGGTGTACACATGGTTCAAAAATATAACCGTTGGGCTATTTTTTATTTGAATTTCTGGCATCTTTTGGTAAAAAGTTTCAAACTTTTCAAGAGTATTTGGAGCCTTTTTGTGGTATAATGTTAGAAATCTATAAATAGGTGATAATTTCAATTTCAAACATAAGAAAATAACATAAGATATCATCATTTATTTGTACACTTGATTTTTCCTCATTCTAATACATATTTAAACCTTCTTCAAGTTTTCAACAAGTTCGAAAAAAAAAAGAATCATTTTGCTTTTGTGCTTCTTTCTTGAAAACTAGTCAATCCTCTAAACCATATGTGTTTAAGCCTTATTCTTCGTTTCTTGTTTCCATTTCCTTCATCTCCTCTTCGATTTTCCAACACTCAAGCGTGGACATGGGCCGTGGTTTATGGGTTATGTGCAAGTTGATATGCTATTGTTTGGACAACAATAATAATCGTAGATATTTATATATTTTTAATATAATAAGTGGCGTAGTGCTGAGTGTGCTACATGGCGACGACCGCTAGAAGTCGACAATTACAACTCCAAATGGACATCCGTATAAATCCCCCTTTCCTAATTTCTTTTGTTTCAATTCTACTGCACTATAATGGCATATTCTTCTCTGCACTATTCTCTCTCTTGCATTTTCTATTTTGAATATTTTAGTCCTTCTGTTTAAAAAATTTCAAAATGCAAGTTGTTTCATTGATCTTGTAACTATGGATCAAGTGCTACTATTATAATGCATAAGAGTTGTTTCTTGGGAGGTGAGTACCGGAAGATCTTCATCACCAATGCGTGGCATTATCATTTTAAGGAAAAAGGGTCCGACAATTGCCTCAATCATATTTCGAAGTCTGCTTCATCCATCTCTTTTTTCTAAATTCTGTTTATTTTATTTGGATAAGTCCGTTAGTGGACATTTCGTCCACTTAATACCATGTAAAATTATTTTGAGAACATACTTTGCACCCAAATTTTCTAATAATCTTAAGACGATAAATATTTACTTATATGATTGTGTTATAAAATAAAACTTCATGTGCTAATTTATGTTCTAATACGACGAAACGAGTTTACTTGCGTAAACTGAATCAATATATGTTTGCTGTTTGACATTAAGTCCACGATCTCATGAATTTTCTACATTCATTTTATCAAAATCATTTTCAATTTATTTTTTTTATAAAATAATTTTGTATATAGACACATAATTTTTCCCACTTTTTAACACATGTTCTCCAAATCAATCATTTTTAAAAAAATTTATTCTAAGAAATTCTATGTCTTAAACGGTTATAATTCATACTCTAGTCATAAATATTATAATCTTGCGTGACAATACCAAGCTCTTAATTCTAGAATTGGTTATGCATGTTCATTCTGTTTTTATAATTGGTAAAGTAAATTTAGTTTGCATATCATAAAGTTAATAATCATTTAATCCAATTTGTCTACAATATACTTAACTT